CACAAGTATAACACATATTAAGAGCTGCACGTCTCACACGGATGCTTATTGCGATTTTGTGTATTTATTTATTCGTGTTTATTTGCGACACGTTTCCGTGTGAATTGAAGCACAATTTTAAATACTAGAGAGATTTATCTACTTAGCAAAATTTCTAAACAACATTTCCGGTGACAGATCGATTGATTGAGTATTGAGACTGTCATGTATCCGCAAAAACGAAATGTCAGTGAGGACAAGGACGCGCGTTTTTATTTCGAGCAATTACGTTGTCTGTGTATAATTAACATGCACGCAATGCATCTTGTGAGATAGTTTATGCCCATATATGGCATTTGTCGAATGTTTTCCTTTGTCAGATGTTGGAACTAAAAATTGGAGCGTTTCACCTAAATGTGAGAAAAGCCAACTTTCGTAGCCGTAGCTTAGAATTGTCAGCCCAAGTTTGTAACTGGCGGTTTGTTGCCATGACCTGGACAGTCGAGTCGTGGCTATAGCAAAGATAATCCTTCTGTTTTTGCGTCATTTTTCACGGGTGACCTAACAACTCGTCGAATCCAAAATCGTTAGTCTGTTGCTCTAAGCTTGCAATTTTGCAAACTCTTATATGACAGAAGATCGGGAACACGTATTTAAAGTTACATTCTGAGCTCATTCGTACAGACTACCGGGACTATTTTGTGAAATATGACATGTTTAGTATGGCTTCGAGCTGACATTTACGAACAAGGACCCGATGCGCGTAGATTCACAAGGGAAATATATATTGCAGTATGTACAGATAAAAATTTTCAAATATTGAAGAAAAACATCAGCCCAAAAAACATGAACTGTAGATTTCATATACATTATGTACGTTAGACTGACTTTTATTACTCATCCACTCCTGCACACCTAGCAATAATAACAGTTACGTCATTCGTGTCAAGTACAGTTCTGTTTCTGACGCCCGCCTTTCAAAAAAAAGTTCGAATACGAAACATAAAATAATGCCGTATCCAGCACGTGGCCACGATTTACTTGTATTCACTTGTCACGATAATCATGAAATATAGTGTAAATATATACATTATGACTGAACAGAATGCCTTATATAGCTATCGTAAGGACATCCCACACTGAGATCGGCAGATATATGCTGGTTGTGTGGCAAATATTTATTCATGTCCCTGTGTAACATACGCTCCATTTGGGAGAGTGCATTGTCACCGTTTGGTTATTTTTTGGGTCAGTGTGCGCATCAACTGTCGACAACTGCGCCTATGAGTAGTCTGGAACGATCTATGAGACGTCCCACTCGCCATGAGCCATTCCACCAACGCATACGTAAGGCGCTACTGAGATTTAATTTATGCGGCCTTCCACTCGCCATGCGCCGCTCCAACAACGCATTCGCATGGTGCTAATGAAATACAATCTACGCGGCGTTCCATCCGCTATGCGCCTCTCCAACAACGCATTCGTACGGCGCTACACCCATTTAGATTTATGCAAACGACACTTATTAATATGGGGTCTCGAGAAATAAAATTGTTCACTAGCTGTCACGCGATCTGCAGTTTCCATGTTGAGCAACTTGAGCCAATGATAAATACGGTCAATAACCATTAGTGAAATACTTTATTTTAGCTGGAATTAATTTTCGCTGAATAGACTTGAGTACTACTAGGAGCGCAGCTAAGCGTAATACTACAGAGTTTACGTTGGCCTAAAATTTTTGCAGCATTCCACTCGCTTGTAAGCCCTTCACTTACGCTTATATATATTTACAGAATAACAGGTTAGCGTGACTTTGATAAATTTCTATCGTATTATTTGCTTACTACTCCCCCGCAGTAGTCAGTTTCGGATATTGAGAAAGAAAATCTAGGAAGTACTTGAGAGATTGGCATATGTAAGAGATGTTATGTTTTAAACCACACACTTCAGGGTGCGAGAGTATTGTGTATGCATATATATTACTTTTCACCGCAGAGAGATGTACTATTACATGAGTCGCGTAATTACCAACTGCAAATCAGGGTTTACAAACGCAGTGGTTCGTGAAACGAATGAAATATTGTGTAAGTTCATTCAATCATGAAATAGCGTTACAACATTTGGTTGACGTGAAGTGAATTTGCCAGCTTCGGCAGCATGGCACCATGCCAGGCGATGAACATAAAAAATCTGATGTAGTCCCAATTTACAATGTGGGTCAGTCGTTTTGTAAGTGGACGCTAATCCAATTGTAAACTGTACTATACACCGCACTTCAAAATATTTTATTTTCTAAAGTCAACTTTGAGGACATCCATCATTCCTATCATCGCTATTGGCCTGATGGCTCAACTTTTGTTACCTTCAACTCAATCAATCCATGAAATTTATTCTCCTTATTTTATTCAACAAATTTGATCATAGTATGTAGAAAATGATGTTAATTAATAAAAAACGGTATAAAAATGCATAAAATATGCAAAATATTGTACCAGCGATTTGGCGAAGAGAAATGGTGGCAGTAAAAAACTATTGCGTGATTCTCTAGAATCATAACGCATCTCGACTGGGTGTGGTGTACTTGCTTAGATAACCCACTAACGAAATGTCATACATGTTGACATTTTGAGCTTAATGCTATATGACATTTTTATGGAATGCGGACAGACTCTGTCTGGCTAATGCGGTCGATACTTGATCATGTTGCGTATACCACAAGATGAAATCAAGGACATTCGCGATAGTTTTGGAGGCTAGCTTAGGTATACCACAAGGGAATTCGTGAAGTGTTAGAGCTCCCCAGGCCATGCTTATTTACGTCCACCAATAACCAAGCCTGTACTTCACAGCACAGCACAGCACAGCACATCACGCGCAATGTCATGTGACTCGATTTCTAAAGCTGCATGAATAACCGGTGTATGAAAGAACGGTCGCCCGCGGCTCAAATCTCGCTGCTGAGACGAATCTTTTCACGAGTTGACATTTAAGGGTTTTTATTTTCATAGCTACTCTCTGCGATAAGACGGGATTCGACAGAATCGTAGTAGTTCCGCGAATAATAAACGAGCAAGGCCACACCGACAAACAGACTATACGATAATACTACCGTGCAGGGGACAGTGTGTAATATAAGACTGTAAAATGATATCATAAAGTAACCGACATTCTACATTATCAAAGCTACATTTTTTTTGGCAGACGATATAAATCCGTAAAATACGATAAAAATGTTTTCGTTTTTGACAATGGGCAATTTGAGTCATACATATTGCATGGATGGTTGCGTTTATAATAAAACAATCTATTATCATCGTTTCGACATTAATCATTAAGGCAACTGTAATTACTGTCACGTGACGACTGCAATTTGCAATCGATATCCATATCATACTATCTGGTAAGGCTTCACGAGTCGAGGTGACATTAGATAATTTACAAACTAATGATGTCAGTTTCAATAATTAATTACTTACATTCACTTGAAATATTGAGCATTAGTTATCCGGTGTATGTGTATGCGTGTTCCATTAACGATGTTTTATCAGTGAGGTGTTGAACTGTACGTAACCGAGTTACTAGACCTGTAGGATTAGTTAATACATGTATTGTGCGTGTATCATTAAAGTTGAACGTTGAAACAAGTACTGAAATACTGAAATACTTTACCAAGACGTTGTAAACTATACTCAAGTACTGAAATACTTTACCAAGACGTTGTACACTATACTCAAGTACTGAAATAGTTTACCAAGACGTTGTACACTATACTTATGTACTGAAATACTTTACCAAGACGTTGTACACTAAACTCGAGAACTGAAATACTTTACCAAGACGTTGTACACTATACTCAAGTACTGAAATACATTACCAAGACGTTGTACACTATACTCAAGTACTGAAATACTTTACCAAGACATTGTACACTATACTGAAGTACTGCAATACTTTACCAAGACGTTGTATACTATACTCAAGAACTGAAATACTTTACCAAGACATTGTACACTATACTCAAGTACTGAAATACTTAACCAAGACGTTGTACACTATACTCAAGAACTGAAATACCTCACCAAGACGTTGTATACTATACCCAAGTACTGAAATACTTTACCAAGACGTTGTACACTATACTCAAGAACTGAAATACTTTACCAAGACGTTGTACACTATACCCAAGTAATGAAATACTTAACCAAGAAGTTTTACACTATACTCAAGAACTGAAATACCTCACCAAGACGTTGTATACTATACCCAAGTACTGAAATACTTTACCAAGACGTTGTACACTATACTCAAGTACTGAAA